GCGTGCTGTTGCCAAATAAAAGAACCCGCGTATCACACAAGAGATATAAACATTAAGGCAATAATCAACATTGGTTGCCTGGCATTGACGCTTGAAAAGTTCTTTTTTTTCGAGCAATTCCGCTTATTTAAAGTCGAATATCGTGGCTGTGAAGAGGTTTAGATTAGGTTACCTACCCATTCTGCAGGTTTTGTGGGAGGTAATTGGTAAGTAAATTATGTCGTAAGTGGAGAACAGATCACAATTCGTTGTAAACCTCACTTCATAAGCTGGATTACTAGATAACCTTTCTTACAGTCTTTAAAACTAATTTAATAAATTTCCTCACATAGTTAACGTTCTCTTGCCAGTTCATCTTGATCGTATATGGATTATTATTTCCTAAAGCAATGTTGTTGTTTTTATACATATTACTTTTGTGTAAATGTCCTTGTATGAAAAGGCTAACGTATGACACAAAACATTAGCTCGATAAGTAGTTATTAAGAATTAGCTGAATTAAATCGCATTCGCCCTGCGGCTCAGTAGTAAGATTGAAGGCTTATAACGCTAAAATTCGAGGTGCTATCTCTGCAGTTGGCACAGTGTGGATAACTCATTGTGTAGCTATGCCTTTTAAACAAAAACAATGTCAATGGCATTATGAAAAGAAAATGAGAAAAAAATGATAATATTGCGCAGGCACAAAATAAATGTAATCCCAGATACAAATACTTATTATTAAGAACGTTATATTATTCTGTAATTTTTGGAGGAATATAATAATAATAACTAGAAGAGACCCACAAAACATTTGCGGTCAAATTAGTATCTTTATTATTTTTAATACAGGATTTATAGACTAATACAAAATAATTCTAATCGCAGACACCGAAATCTGTAAGTCCACTTGTTTTAGGCCTAACACTAGTTAGGCCTTTATTAAATACGCCTATATTCGATAAAGAGATAAGTTAACACTGTAAACTAGTGTACGTTGTTTGCTTTAGTTTAGTTAGGGCTAAACTTTGCTTATAATATTATACTACGACCTAACGCTAGACCTTTTTAGAAACTTTGATAAGTTTATAATATATTATTATACAAAATGTCGACTAAATTATATCTATATCCGTTGAAATAGTGCGCGCGCATGCGCATATAGATAGTAAGGTGGACACGCATTTTCAGGACAGACAAAACTACAGTATTATTATTATAATAGATAAAAAACACATTGATTTTAATTTGGGGTAATTACTTTTCACAAACGAATGTTTGAGACGGGTTCATGTCTTATTAATTATATAAAAACGAGAAATATTTCAGTGCATATATATATATATATATAGAGAGAACATGTTTATTAAATGTGTTTTTTGTTGTATGAACCATGCAAATAAGATCTCGTCCAAGGAAGATGATGTGACCAAACACACGGTTCAGGATGAGCAAATCAGAAGTATCTATAGCTCTAAAAATAAACTTTAAATACATTTTTAAGATGGTTAAATGCTTATAAATAAATGAGTTTTGGTTTTTGTCGTCAAGTGACAAAACAAAATATTTTGATGCAGCGTTTCACATGTAACTTATAAAGTTAAATCCTGTACAGTTTTATAGATAACAATAAACCGCTCCAAAAATGTAGTAAACCTTGGATACAACTACTGCTTCTGTTTATTCTTAACCTGTTTGTAATGAAATAAATTTTGTTGTTATTCAGCAGTTAAAGTTATTTGTATTAGTTAGAAAAGCAATCGAAGGTTCCCGTATTTTCTTCAAATAATTCTTTTGTACTTAAATAATATTTCGTTAATTGAGTGAGGAAGAATCAAGAAACAACTTCATCTCAAACGTTGGTTAAAAACCAAAACTTCTCTTACGCTTAGAGGCCGGACGTTGCTTAGTGGTTAACGTGTCGAGCTGTGTGTCGTACAGTCCAAGGTTAGAGCCGCGGTATGCCACTGCACATGCTCCGTACTTTCTTTAATATGTGGGAACGGTATAATGAAAACCAGTTCATGTTATTCAGTTAATGAGACTTTGACTTGGCCGTTTAACCAATTTATTGCATAAGGTGTCGTTCAGGTTAAAAAGACCAATATCTTATTTCTTGAAGTTACTATGTGTTTAATAAGCACAAAACACTGATTGTTTTTTGAAAAAACTATATAATTCATTGACTTCAGGTTTTTGTTTTGTTAAACCCCAACACATTCTTTATGTTTTCCAAATGGTAGTTTCTGTTTGTTTTCCGTGTTTTATGACACACTTTTAACCTCGCTCCCCAGGTTAAAGGGAAAACTAGAGTAAAGGAGGTTACTGTTAATACTCTGCCTTTGAAAGCTTGGAATGGGCATTTTAATAGAGCTGAAGCTTGTGAACCTTCTTTCCCTTTGAAAAAATGAACTTGCCATATAAAAATAAAACTCGTAAAACAACTGTTTTCATTGATTGGTGAAACATCCACATTCGTCATATTGTTTTATAAAAAAACTACATTTGAAACCCTTTCCCTTATTGTAGTTGTTGTTCGACCTTTTCGTTTACATTTTGTTGTCAGATTCAGTGTTTTTTATAACACTTGATAGTTATTAATTCGGTGTACGTATAAGTTACTGAAATACTAATATAAATTGATTTTTGTGTTTGTTGCGATTATTTTTGTCCCGGAAACCTTTGGCCTGTTCAGATGGCAGCACTTTTGTGTAGACGGACATACAAATCAATTACGTACTTCTTTGTGCATGGGTGGATTTCTCTTCGTCTATTGATTAGCGGTAACGATTCGACCTTTGATGTTGTTTATAACTTCTACTGGGATGCAGTAAGCTATACTAATCAGACCTGTAACTGTTAGCATCACATGTGAATGTCGTGTAACCGTTACCAAAACACGAGGACCACAACACTGTAAAAGACATCGCCAGTTGTACGATGACTAACAATAACATAACAACAATAACTGTAATAGTGTTAGTGGAGCGATATCGATATCCTGGCACACTTGTATTATTGTCATTTGCCATGTGCATGCATGGGTGCTTTTATGGCCATATTTCCAGAACAGGGTGGAGAAGGGGGAGTCTATATTTTGACGTTTGTTTCTACTTGTTACAGTGTGAGGTTTCTTCGTGCAAAACATTCTAAAGTGAGCTTTCTCTCGTTTGTCGATTGTCTTCATATAGATGTTGGGGGTCCCACGGGATGGGGGGAGGGGGTTGCAAGGTAAAGAGTTCACCTAGTTGATAGTTTCGGTTTCCAGATTTAGATTTCACGAACAGCCGTTAGGATCAACGCTAGTCGCTGTTTTTTGTATTGTTACACTAACTATGTTGTATCAGCTGGCCAGTTGAGAAAGCTAAGAGGAGGGAGATAAACTGAACTTCAGTAGCACGAAGCGGGAAATGACCAAGAGGGGTGGGATGGCTAATATATGCCTCACCAGACTAGCCACCTAGAACCATACTTTCTTTGATAATACCAAATGGCTACTATATTAACAATCTGGCATTTTGGGATTCTATTTCAAACAGAAATGAATCATTCAGTTACAAAACAAGAGGGAATCGTCAATAGCCGCAGCACTTGAAATTCTTTTAGGCAGGATTAGAATAAATTAATCTACGAGGCCTTTTTTTCCCGTTTTATTAGCTATATTTTTGTGCGCCAGCAATACCAAGCGTGGGGGCACACGTATTCTAATCTATGAGACCTTTGGCATGGTCAAATGCATCAACCATAAGGGTTTGACCTCCTGAGACCAAAACTGTAAAAATTCAGAGTCATTCTATAAGCCACTATGCCGCGGCTAAAAACTTGTGTAGCTTTGTGCTTAATAACAAACATATTCAAGACATGGAGTGGCAGCCGAATAGGACATATATGACAGAGTTTACTTGTGAAGGATTACGGACACGTGCTTGAAGTCTAAGTATCGTTTTATTCTACTTTTTTATTGAAATAATTTATATTTTTGCGTTCCATGGTTGGAGAGTTTTTGTCTAATTTTATATAGTTAAAAACTTCAAAGAGATCTCGTATGCAGCGAATTATTAATTTCATAAATCTTGGTTTGGGCGTTTAAATTAATTTTCGTGTAAATATTGAAATCAATAAATAAACATAATTTGAAAAGCGTTGTTTTGGGCAAACAAATGTCGACTTTCTCCATGGGTCTTGAACTAGAAAAAAAGGAAATGCCCGAAGCAGTGGAAATTGGATAAGAAATTGCTTTAGGCTCGGCCAAACGGAAGACAGTGGCACGCAACTTGAACTGCGCAATAAAAAATGTGCTACGACAGGACTCCATAACTAGAGAGAGGAGAGTCTGTGCTTTGGCTGTTACTAAAATCTCCTCTAGCGTTGTAACCATTATAATTCCAAATCTGTTCACTTGGAAGATTCATAATGGATTTTAGTTTTCTGGCAAGTTTAATCAGAGGTACACGAGGGCTATCTGCGCTAGTCGTCCCTAATTTAGCAGTGTAAGACTAGAGGGAAGGCAGCTAGTCATCACCACCCACCGCCAACTCTTGGACTATTCTTTTACCAACGAATAGTTGGATTGACCGTCACATTATAACGCCCCCACGGCTGAAAGGGCGAGCATGTTTGGTGTGACGGGGATTCGAACTCGCGACCCTCAGATTGCAAGTCGAGCGCCCTAACCACCTGGCCATGCCGGGTCTATCAAGTGTGAATAACTGCATAATTTATTCTCACTTTTAAATATCTCAGCTGTCTTTACGTCTCTGTTGTTTGCCATTCTGTTTATAATAAACAGAGTAATATGTTTCTGTTGGATAATTTATTCTCACTTTTACATATCTCAGCTGTCTTTACGACTCTGTTTATTATAAACAGAATGGCAAACAACAGAGAAATATGTTTCTGTTGGATAATTTATTCTCACTTTTACATATCTCAGCTGTCTTTACGCGTCTGTTGTTTGCCATTCTGTTTATAATAAACAGAGTAATATGTTTCTGTTGGATAATTTTTTCTCACTCTTGCAGATGTCCGCCGATGTATGTTGGAGAGTACTGTCAACATCTGAATCCTTGCCATACGGGTGCTGGACCAAGATGCCAGAATGGTGGCAGTTGTAATGTTGCCCTAAGTGCCACAACTGGCCCAACCTTCATGTGTACCTGCCCTGTGGGTTATTCGGCTTCTCTTTGCGAGATTGCTCTCCCGAACAGCTGTGATAGTGACCCGTGTCAGAACGGGGGCACGTGCACACTCAGTTCTCTGGACAATTACACGTGCACGTGCGCTGCAGGTTTTAGAGGTAAGTTTTCATCTTTTGCTTCGTAGACGAATATTTTCTGGTCAGATTAATTCGGATGTTAAAAAAACAAGCACTTTAACGGCACCATCGCTTAGGAAATAAAAACACATATTTTATTAATTCGGATGTTAAAAAAACAAGCAATGTAACGGCACCATCGCTTAGGAAATAAAAACACATATTTTATTAATTTGAATGTTCATCGCCTTAGTTATTGAATGTAACGGCACCATCGCTTAGGAAATAAAAACACATATTTTATTAATTCGAATGTTCATCGCCTTAGTTATTGAATGTAACGGCACCATCGCTTAGGAAATAAAAACAC